AAGTCCCTTTTTGTTTTCATCTGCACTTTTACTTCTTTCCTGAGTATATTACATGTCTGGGTTTATGTTGAAGTATGCGATGAAATCCAAATGTTTCAGTTGCATTTGCGTGTAACGATCAGATAAAATGGATGCATTTAATAAATGATCAGATCAACAAAAATGTGAGTAACGATGCATAAATATATACCGAGTGGGTGTTACAAAATGGAATGAGTATTCCTAATCCAGACATTAATTTTGTGATTTATGATATCATTATTGAAGAAACCACATTGTTTGGAGCAACCAAACAAGGGTGAATGAGTATAAACGACAATAGATTTTTAAAATAAAAAAGGAAGCAAATTTTTTTTTTGGGACCCCCTAAAGAGTTGGACCTAAAGCAACAGCCTCTTGGGCATCTCCTAGTCCGGCTATGTACGTAAGCCAACCTTTCATAGAGATAAGAGTAACTAAAACTTCCAATCTGAAACAGGGCAGGGTACAATCTTTGTGTCTTGAGCAATTTCTGACAACAATATATTTATTGCATATGCAACTGAAACATTTGGCTTTCATCGCATACTTCAACATAAACTCAGACATGTAATTTACTCAGGAATGAAGATAAAGTGCAGATGAAAACAAAAAGGGACTTACGGCATCCAAAGAGGGAAAAAATGAATAGAGTGAGTCCAAAAAGGTTGGAGCACATATTTGGCTACATATGAGTGATCCAATCCACTGTACTTATATCTATGTAGCGCGGCCACTCCATGTGATGAGCACGGTCCTGCTTCATTGAAGGCACAGATAGTTACACTGAAAGTTCTTGGAATTTATTCAGTGTTTGATGTAATGCTCGTAATATGGCTTCTGATTCAAGACTTTCAATCATTCTTTGAGACGGTTTTTCCATTTTCTGTTTGTACTTTCTGCATGAAATTTTGTTTTGCTGCACTCGGTGTTACTCTGCCTGCATTTTGCCACTTGAGTCGTTCTTGAAATTACAACAGCTTTGGGAATTTACTGTTTCAGGTAAGAAATCGTTTTGGGTTGTTCTGATTTTGAATGGAGATGTGGGTTTAGAATTTTGCTACTTTACCAGAAGAATTTTAACATCTTATTTAACAGATGCATAGGTGGATGAAAGTGATGACAATGTCGCATTATGTCAACTCATTTGTCAACAAAGATGGCGCTATAGCCTGATTGGTGGGTTTATTGTATTGAACAAGATTTGATTTTGAATGTTTTTCAACTTAAAAATGCTGCAGGCTAACTAGAAGAGAAGCTTGAGACGTGATTACATTATGATCTGAACCTCGAGGTTTACTTTCCTGACCGGTCCCATTTTTATTGCTTGCTTGCTTGCTACAGTAGAATTTGACCGACGTGCTTCAAAAATCTCGATTTAACTAAAAAAACCTTTGGTGGACTAAGTTCTAAAGTTTATTATAATGATTTGTGTGTAACTTTTCCTTTACTATTCAGACACAAGATTAAAAGACAGTGACGATGTCGAAGACGGTCTCATCGGCAGGATTATTTTTTAATTATACATTTATACAATAAAATATTTTACTTTTTAACCACGCTTTATCTAAAAATACTATTCAAAACTAATTTTTTAAAAAATAATGGACATCAAACATGGGCTAAATAAGTTTTTGTTTATGTGAAAAATATTTTATTGTGAAAATGTATAATTAAAAATGAGTATAAAAAAAAGAATGAGAAAATATGAAAAATGTGATTAAAAAGAAGAGAAAGAAAAATGTATTTTTAATTTAAAAAAAAAAGAGGATTTGAAGGACAAGTTCCGGTGAATAGAGAGGAAACCATGGTCAATAAAGTCAACTGCCAGAAGTTCCCAGATGTAAAACAGGGAAGGTCCACCAACCGAGCCGGCAATGACGCCGGTGACGGTTTACCGGTAACCCATCCAATAGAATTTAGACATCTGTTCTCCTACTCACCCACCCACTCCACGACACGTGTCCCCTTGCCGACGTCGTCGTCAAACCTCCAACCCTGCTTGGATTTTTCCGTCAACCGATAAAATTACAAAATCATCTATACGCTGTCGTTTTGAAAGTCGTCTCATGAAAAATAATAACGTTAAACGTCTGTCTTCCTCTGCATTTATTTTCGCCGGTCAACAAACCCTATTGCTCTTATCTCCTACATTCCTCTCTTTTTCTCTATATACTCCTCTCTCTCTCTCTCTCTCTAGAATAATACAGATCGGCCGTGATCTATGGAAGACGACGACGAAATCCAGTCACATCCATCGCCGGCTTCTAATGGGAGAATTACGGTGACTGTGGCGGCTGCGCCCCCGATGACGCCCCAGAATACTCTGACGCTTGCTCTACCGATACAGCAGCAGAAGGTTGGGGGAACTGGTGGAGGAAGAGAGGATTGTTGGAGCGAAGGCGCCACGGCGGTGTTAATTGAAGCCTGGGGGGAGAGGTACCTTGACCTGAGCCGTGGGAATCTGAAGCAAAAACACTGGAAAGATGTGGCGGACATTGTGGGCAGCCGAGAGGATTATATGAAGACTCCGAAAACCGATGTTCAGTGCAAGAACCGGATCGATACAGTGAAGAAGAAGTACAAGACGGAGAAGGCTAAGATCGCGGCAGGCGGTGGGCCGAGTAAGTGGCGGTTTTATGAGAAGATGGATGAATTGATCGGCCCGACGGCGAAGATGAGCTCCGGGAGTGGAGGTGGGTCGGCCGGGAATGCAAACGTGCAATCGGGAAGCCAAAGGGTGCCTATGGGGATCCCTGTTGGGACTAGATCCGGCTCGGTTTCTCAGTTCCGGCAACAGGAGAGATTTCAGGTTCAGCAACAGCCAAAGCCGCAATTTCGGAAAAGGCCTCCGGTGGACTCGGATGAGGAGTCCGAGCCGGAGCCTTCTGCCGATTCATCAGATGGTTTACCTCCAGAAAGTTATAAGCGGCCAGTGGTCAAGAGGGAAATGAATCAAATGATGATGGTGAATGCTAGTGCACCAAGGTCTGAAATGATGAACAGAAAAATGAATGAAGAAACTGCTGTTGTGAATACCACCAATGACAAGAATAGCAATGAGACGAATTGGGGCAATTCTGTTAGGGAGTTGACGCGGGCAATCTTGAAATTTGGGGAGTCGTATGAACAAGCAGAGAATTCGAAAATGCAGCAGTTGGTAGAGATGGAAAAGCAGAGGATGAAATTTATGAAGGAGATGGAGTTGCAGAGGATGCAGTTCTTTATGAAAACACAATTGGAGCTTTCACAATTGAAGAATAAAAGGAGGAATGGAAACAACAATAATCATCATACCACCAATAACACTGATAGCAGTAATTAAGAATGTTGTTTGTATTTTTTAGAATTTAGATCGATCCATTGAATGGATGGGAGGAGGAGATGACCCTTGTGTTTATTGTTACCTTATTGTATTGTGAAATGTTCCTCAAGAACAAGTTAATTTTGTTAAATATTATTATGCACAATCAATCAAAGTGTGTGTGTGTGTGTTTCTTTTTCATTCTTGCTCTTCAGTTCAGATTACAAACTAAGAAGCCAACTTCTTTTTACTTGAAGTAGATGCTCCCAATCGACTTATTTATAATTTGTTATTCTATCACGACGCTAATCTAGTGAGGAGAATGAGGTATTTAGTGCTTTCGAGTAATAGTTGCCCACATGCTTGCCTAGCTAATCTAAATTTGTAAACATGACCGTGTTGAGTGCATAGTAGCGATACTGAGTTCTTTGTGGCGATAGTAGGCAACACTTGTTTAGCTAATTTAAAAGTTTAAACTTAGTCGTATTGGATCTTGATTTTGAGCTTGCATTATCAAGAATCATGTTACATGTCCAGAGCCCATGCGTTTAGAATAATCCATATTTCTTTTAATTTGGTAGAACCTATTTTTTAGCTCATAGGGCCTAAAAAATGGCCATTTGGAACTGTCATGCACTAATGCAAAATATTGTTTGGTTGTTGAAAATATTTTGCAACCGTGGTGGTCGATCATGACCATGATCATGTTTTTTTAAAGTTTTTTCAATTAATTTTGATTACACAGTGTTTATCTAGCTGCTCGCACATTTTGGCTTCAGGCTTCACTCTTCACATCCGACAAGATAAACTAATTTTCGGATTAGTTTTTGTAAGACCAATTAATGTGGAACAATTAATATTATTAATAAATTAATTAAAGTGGTTTATTATTGCTAAAATTCTATTAGTCCATTGAGAAGTGATAGTTTAATAACTATTGCTAAAAGGGAACAATACACAAACCCTACATATAATAATTACTTTTCAAAACTAACAAATTTGTTTAATTATTTCAAAAATCAGGTGGTAAATAGATTAATTAAATATTAAATTATAATATATAAAATATTAAATTATAATATTATATATATTAATTATTTACACCCCATCACCCATCACCCACCANCCCAACCCATGGATTGGTCACAATTGGTCTCAACGAGTCACAATTAATCAGTCACAAATGGTCACAATCAGCCACAAACGGTCACAAACGGTCATAATCAACTACCTGGTAGTCAAATCGCGATCTGGATCAGAAAAGTTCGCCGACACCACAAACTTCGGTTGCAGCCTTCAATTTGACCAATTGTGACCAAATTTGTGTTCAGTGTGACCGTTTGTGACCAATTTTGTGTTAATTGTGACCGATTGTGACTTGATCATATTCAAGTCACATTCGGTCACAATTAACACAAAACTGGTCGCAACCAGTCACAGTACACACAAATTTGGTCGCAAATGGTCACCACAAACATTTTTTCAAACCAAAAGTTATCTAAAAATAATTTCTTAGCCAAACATAGTCTCAAGGAAGCTTCTTATACAATAGTCAGATTTTAAAAGCTTTTTTCATGGTTCTTGAACCTAACCTAAAGTTAAATGGCTAAAGCAGATTAATTAATTATTCCAAAATCTAGAATCCATACTCTCTGAGGAAAATGGTGATTCTGCCCCTAAAAATATTCCCTCTCTTTGTACAATAAGATTTAAAGGCTAATTAGGAATTGATTTCTAGTGAACTTTACCGAGACTAAAAGTTATACCTTTCAATTCTATATAAAGACCATCATTTGGCAATATTGTCATCACAAACAACATAAAAACCAGTACCAAATTTCTATTCTTTGTGATCTGTTAAAATTTGACATCGCACGTCAGGAAAATCTTTTGAAGATTGGCCAAGAAATAGAGAAGTTCCTTCCCCAAACCAAGGATTTGACTACTCTCCAAGAACGCCAACAGAATGAATATGATATACAAAAACCATCAAAGGGGAGAAATCTAGTTAAAACAGATATGGGCAATTCTTGAAATACTTGGAAAAACACAGGTGTGCAATAAGAGTACAAGTAAAATCAGCACCATCAAGCATAAACAGCTGCCTCACTTGAAACTGAGTACACAAGAACGGCCAAATGGTACAGACGCTGGCCAATAATGAAACTAGCATTCCTCCAACAGTTCTCTTCATCAGACATCAATCCATTTGTGGCGGTTGTGTATTTGTAAAGAGCCATTGTTTTCACCCATAAAACTATCGTTCATCATCGTCTCATCTGACCTTATCTGGCAACCAGTGTGCATTGGAAATTTTTTAAAGAGCCATTGTTTTCACCCGTAAAACCTCCACCGCACCCACCGCCAACAGCACGCACAGACATCCTCCGCCGCCACCGCCGCCGCACGCACGCACACACACACTTCACTGCACCACCATTGCGACAGAACAACAATCCCCATCCACCGTTAAGTCATTTACGGATCTGCACCGAGACTACATTCCACAACCACCAGACAAAAACAAAAGGAAAAGAACAATGGATCTGTGTGTCTCAGACCTTGGATCTGCGCCGCTATTCCGATCTGTGCAAAGGATGCTCTTAGCGCTGCTGCTCCTCCAACAGTGCTCGGGGAACCTCCTCTTCGCTGTTCAGTGAAGCAGTATCCGATGCAAATAGAAGAGCGAAGACCGCTGGCAAATATGATGCTGTCACCGGTGAGTGAGAAGGGAGAAGTGAGAGACGGAGATTGAGAAAAGTGAGAGAGAGAGAGAGAGAGATGAATGAGAGATTGAATGGAAAATTAGGTTTTAATTATTAATTTAATTACAACCTGATTTTTGATTAAATAAACATTACACCTGATTTTTGAATTTGAAAAATTAAATACCTGGTTTTAGGTAATTTTCCTTGCTAAAATTCTATTGGTCCATCGAGAAAGTAGATAGGCTTTTTTTTATGGCCCATGAAATTATTTCTTTGCCTATAAACGTGAATGTAATCCATCAAATTAAAACATTCAATTACAGAGAGGAAAAAAGAGAGAACGATTTATTGATTTTACTAGTTTCTCCTTTGCAGGTTTAAATCTTTCAATTATTGCTATGATTCAAGGTATGCTTCCTGATCAATTAAATTAATATGTAAAAATCATGAATTTTAAAGATCTTTGTACTAGGATTAATTAATTGCTTACATGTGTAAATTAAGTTCTGGGTTCTTTATTTTCTTCGTAATTACTGTAATGGTTAGAAAGAAAAAGGAGACTTTAATTAGTCTCATACATTTATAGTATTATCTAAATGTGTACAGAATACACCACTGTCTGTTTTAATCTTGAAATTGGTTTGTATTTCAATTTCTTCCAAAAGCCTCAATTTCCAAGAGAATGGCAGAAATGTGTACATATATATTTATTCAAAAATGCTACTTGTATATCAAGAATTATATATCAAGGTGTACATCACACTTACATAGAGGTAGGACCCACTTGTATAAATTTTTTTTTTATTTAAGCGGATCCCACTCCCCATATGAGTCTGATGTACACATCGATGTACACCTTAATGTACTGGTAGCAAAACCGTTATTTATTTACAGTACCTTAATTAATGGAGGAAAGACATTGGAGGTACTTCGCTGCACTAGATAAGAATTTTGGAATTATTATATGAGATTTCAGGTTTCTATGTGAATGATAATGAATTGTGATTATTCGTGTCTTTCATTGCTGACACATATTCTGCTTATTGCTCAAAAATGCTAATAAAGTGACGAATTTATTGTGTATTTTGTGGCTGAATAAGAATATGTAAAACTATTTATAAAATTATTAAGGATCGCCTAAATGCTGATCAATTAATTTTATTAATCTTGAACATAATCGTGGTTAATTGATATATTTAATTTGGATGTGTTTTGTATATCTAAAGAGTAAAGATAACATATATGTCTAATTATGGTATATTTAATTACCAATTAAGTGAAATCAATTAACATCATTATGTTTATTATGATGGTTCATCTGTACCACTGTTTAATGGACTCAATTTCTCTGAATGGTGTAAACAAGTCGAGTTCAACTTAGGTGTTTAGGACTTAGACTTGACACTTCAAGATGAGAAACATGTTGACCTCCCCAAGGAGAGCAGTGTTGATTAAAGATATTTCCATAAGACTTGGGAAAGATCAAATAGATTAAGCCTAATGTTTATGCGGATGACCTTAGCAAAAAATATCAAGTCCACTATCCCCAAAACTGAGATTGCTAAGGAATATACGAAGTTTGTGGAAGGACGTTCCTAAACAACTGACAAATCACTTGTTGGCACATTGATGGGTACCCTAACAATCATGAAATTTGATGGTTCGAGTAGTATGCATGAGCATGTTACTGAAATGAGTAACATTGTAGCAAGACTTAAGATTCTTGGGATGACTGTGGATGAGAACCTTCTGGTACAGTTTATTATCAACTCTTTGCCTCCTAAGAATGATCCATTCAATATGAACTAAAATACCTTAAATGACAAATGGAATATGAATGAATAGCACAGTATGTTGATGCAAGAGGAGACAAAGTTAAGATTCAAGGAACTCATTATGTTCATCTTGTAAGTCATCGAGGAGCTGGAAATAAATATAAGAAAAGGTCTGGAAAGGGTATTAAGCAAGGACCGCTAAAGATAAATGAGTCTTTTGCCCAAATCCATAATAAGGAATTCATGAAAGATATGTGTGATTTCTGTCGTAAACTTGGGTACCATAAAAAGGATTGCCTGAAACGTAAGGCATGGTTCGAAAGTAAAGGTAAGATGATTTCTTATGTATGTTTTGAATCTAATTTGGCACAAGTTCCTTAAAATACTTGGTGGATTGATTCCGGATGTACCACTCATGTTACCAAACGATGCATGGGTTCCTGTTGAAGCCATTGTAACCTACTGTTTGATTTTAGATACATGACATTATTTAGATTTACTTCAAACTCTTTATGTACCTTCTATTTCCTATAATTTA